TACGATGCCGGCGAAATGTCTGGGAATGTACCACGTCCACGGTCCTACTCTGGAAATGATGATGCATACACTGGACTCCGGACAAGGTGCGTTCCTCTAATTCTTCCTACCAATATGACCGAGTTGCGAAAACAAGGTCAAACAACTTCTAAGTCTTATAGTGTTCAGATTATAGTCACAAACCCTTCTATACTGTTTTTATATTTCATTTCAATTTCACTGTAGGCTGTATATGCTTTGTTTTTTCGAGAAATATGATCCCTTCTTACCTTCTATTTTCCAGACCAATGCTTTAATATGCATCCCATTGAACCACCATGTAGGCCTACATTAATATCAATTCCTTTGTCCGACGGCCACAATTCTATTTGATTTAGAATAAGTGGCGAATTATAGAAAGTCGCATAGACCTAATTTATTGCAAAATAAGGCTTTTTGGGCCTTACAGACTAACGCCCGAATTTAGTTTTGTTAAATATTGTATTTGTTTTTTTTACCTTTTATACTTTCTTATTCCTTCAAATGTGCTAGTCTTCATAGCCTTAAATAAAACTATTAGAACTGCTTAAAATGATTTTTTATGGCATCATTAAATTGTACCTTAAGTTAACAAGTTGAAGAATCGCTGTGTGTTACGAGAAAGGGGCGTTTAAAATTAACGAAATTCGATGAAAGAACAACCCAGCCTATATACCCTCCAAATTGTCTTGTGTTTAAATGATACAGAGACTGGGAGATTAAATCTTAGAAAAAGAACAGGGATATTTGGCAAGTCCTTTGAATGGCTTTAGTATAGCCTTCTGCATCTCAAATATCAAAGCCAAGATGCTGTTGCCATGGATTTGGTCTAGGTCTCCTTTATCTGTTCATAGTTCGTTTTATTTCGATTTTGCAACGTGGTCGTTGTGTTAGATCGACTCCAAAGATGAGAGATGAGCTTAAGCTGCTAGAAACTAGGACGAGGGAGAGAAGCCATAACTGTTGAACAAAGATTAGCCAGTATGGTTGCCTTTATTTCTTAATTTGATGAGTTTAACTTGGTGCTGAAGATGGCGCTTCTCACTGACTATTTCTCCAGCAATGCCAACAACACGCCTGAGAATGTAACAATTGAGGGTTCGATACCTGAAATTATTATGAGTATGAAGGCATAAAATGCAGGACTGTATAGATTCTTCGGGCCCTATCTGAAACCACGACTAAACAGAGAAAGCAAGGTGAAACCAGCCCATTTGTCTTCGAGAAGGTTGATAGCAAGCATCATAAAACTTAACCGATTGACATTCCTAGCATCGACTCATCTTAAAATACCATGATTGGGATTTTAAAATATGCTCACTTGTGGTGAGCAAGGTAAAGGTTTGCTGTTTATACTGTAAAATTTGTAATTTTTTAGTTAAATTTTGTGTACCTGAGTGACATCTAGCTAAGTAATTTTTTTTAATAGTATAGCTTCCTAACTAATGAATTTTCATATTTAAAGGTGTATACATTTTTACTACTTTCTTTACGGAAATACAGGTTAATAGGACTTAATAATAAAATAAATATCGTAAAATTTCTAGTTTGTTTTCTATTTAGACTCCATATTGAGTGCAACTTCCTTATAAATACAAAAATTCCCTGATGGCATTGCGATATAATGAACGCAACATAAAAAAATATGATACCCTTCTGATTTTATCTAATATTACCATAGTCCGATCAAGACGTAGTAGTGATTAACATGGCAATTATTACATTAATCGCCCACCTCTTATGAGTTGTGAATGGAGGCATTGCCCCTCGTGAAGTTGGCTTTATATTTACCTTGAGGCTTACACTCTACACTTGGGCTGGCCTAATCCTTGAATATTTCAACTAAAATGTCCTAGCTCATTAGTATGCATCAATGGTTTCAACGATATCACTATGAAGAAGGAAAGGCTTTTTTTCGAGTGTTGTATAAAGGCTAAATTTCTCGGAGCCTTTGTCAATTTTAATTATTCGGCATCTTTTATTGTGTAAAATTTCTGTGAAAGGACAACTCATGTTTTCAGATTATACTCATTAAGCCTCCTCTACTATTTTTTATACCTCATTGCAATTTCGCTGTAGGCTGAATGTATTTTTCTATAGGCATGCATTTATCATCTGTTATAATGACGGATTTTCATTTGCCCCAGATGATCCAATTTATTTTGGATAAGTATTGCCATGAGACCTGTTTTGTGGCCGGTTTGAAAGGTTAAAGACGGATGCATGTGGTGCTGAAGTTGTATGGGGATCAGGCGTACAAGGCTAGTTGTCTGTTCTGCCGATGAACTTTGTGCGATGGAAGGTTGAAGCTTATTGAACTAATGCAGCCAGCGTGGAGAGACAACAATGCTGAGACGCTGCGGACACCTGATTCGGATGTGGCGTTTTTCTGAATTCGTTCCTATGGCAAAATCATTTTTATCCTACTGAGTGAGGTTAGCTCTGGTGCCTTTGGCTAAATGACACGGTCAATCAGTGACTTTGCCTAGTACACAAACACTAAATGAGCATAGTCCCACTGATGTGAAGGTCCAATCAACCTTTACTATCGCAGATGTAGTGGGGAAAAAGAATGCCTTCGGATACGTGGTACAAACACGCGATTGAAATTCAGGAGAGGGGCTGGCTCAAAACGCTTTCACCTGAGTTGTTCCATTTTTTAGTTAAGACGAGCATCTGGACCCTTCGTAAGCTATTCATGTGGCCCGACTCCGAAGACGAAGCGAGCAAGGCGTGCTCTGGTGGTCCACGAGACCTCAATCAGTTGTCACAAGGAAGGTGGTGCCATGGAGAAGTTAATTTAGTTTAGAGTTCTTCCTGCTGAGTATTTTGCCGGAGAGACTTTAATTTCACATGAAATTACTTGATGAAAATATTCTAAAGCCGATCTCACTAGGAGATGATGGCCGATTCCCGTTGTACTACAGCCGTTTGGCTTTGATACGACCTTCAAGTTGACGCACTCCATGAATCATCCTCCTTCGCTTCGGGCGAAAATGGGCTGTGCTTTCAACTATCACTCTTATTTACGACCGGTATTGCATATATCCGTTTACATATACACACACGCACACTCATAAAAAAGTACTAGGACAAATATGAAAGGAAATTAGCCAAATAATTACATATCTATCTATGTATATACATTTCTGGGCCACTATATACCCATTAAAATAGGATCGACGAATAACGGATATTCTACTCTTGGCATTTGTAATTTACTCATCTTAATTAGCCAATATAGTGCTGGTTCTATATTTCCCACATTACACCACTGTATACCATAGCTTAAATTTAACCGTAACCTCCGATTATCCAATAAAGAATCCCTTTACTGCCCCTTTCCCGCAAACTCCTACTCTTCTTATTATATGATTGCTTGCATTCTTATAGCAGTTCAGATAGGGATAGTAACCCCCCAACAATTCTTATAGCATCTATTTTGGCTGCACCTCCTTACTATAAGTTGGACGGAGCTTTTACCAGATTGGTTCCGTCTTCGTTAAACTTCTCCTCTTTATTAATGTTTCATCGTGGTTTCGCATTCATTGGGTTGTATTAAGAAGAGATCGATGGAAAAGGTGGCTTTAAGTCTAATATTTTTTAAGGATTTTTATACACATACACTTTTTGGCTCCCGCTTCTTACTAAAGATCGTGGTAGAAAAGAAGGATTCTCAAGAAATTAGACTATTTTCGGCGAGATTCAGCGTTCCGTAGACTTTCCAACCCTAACCGTTTGGCATCCCACAAGCTTATTTTACTCCACATTCCATTTACTTTCTTTCATTCGAATTTTAATCCCAAAGTTGTGTACTTCAGCAGACAAAACACCACTTTCCTTACTAAGTTCCCCTACTTAGGTGCCTAAGAATATTTATACTTACCTAAGACTTTTAATCTGGAATAAATAAGGGTCTACATTTTTTAGAGGGCCCTACAAAATATTTTCAATATCTGCTTTGCTAAAACTAGCCTTATTGATGGAATTTTATTAAAAAAGCAATTAATCTGGATTTTAGAGCGTGATACTTTTAAGAGACTCTTCTACATCCAGTTAATCAAGTTTTATTGTGTAATCTGAAATTATTAGCATCTTTTGCTCTGAGAGGAAATTGGATTGGCATATAAAGGGCATAATTAGTTAATTAGGTAGATAAGAAATCGCGAATATTGGACAATTAGACATAAATGCCAAAGCATCTTTTTAGCCGGATAGTTAGATGGCTAGAAGGAAACCTTTTGGTACAGCGACTAGCTGCATATAAGTGTATTCTTTGATTGAGATATTTATAGCTTACTACGAAAACACATATATTTAAATTTGATGTATTCACCCTATTTCGTTTAAAGTGATGTAGGACTGGTAGTAGAATTTTCCCACAACGATATGAGTTGAGCTGACGTTTCCATTGAATTTTACAGAGCCTTGCTTTCCCAAAAGTTGTTCTCATCCAGGTTGGACTGCAGTTTTGACCTCGCATAGATCTTAACAACACTCCCAGCGAGAGTCTAACCGTGACATGGCATATAATTCAATTTAGCATCATGTGAGCATGTCACGTTAACTATTCGGCCACATTGCCACGAATGCCCTGAGATCACAGGCCTTTTTCCACACCACATTCTTTGGTGGGATTATCGATGAATCAAACGTATCTTTGCTATAACAATCGACTACATTACATATTTTTCATATATATATATATATAGAGTTTCAAAACTACCAGTAAATCATTCA